CTGGCCCCTGCACCCTCCTCTCCCCATCCCCGCTCCCTCTGCCTGGGCTTTGGACATTGTGGTGGGCAGGCAGGGACAGGAGCGCTGGCAGCAGGGGGATGCAAGCAGGGAGAGGGGAGGGCAGGACAGGACGAAGGGTTGCTTCTTGGCTGGCTCCCCCTTCGCCTCTGCCTGCCTGGGGGCTGGCGGTGCCTGAGCTCAACCCAAAAGGCTCCTGGTGAGGTGACCCTGGGGGACAAAGCCACCTCTGAGCCATCGACTCGGTGACTTCGTGCCGCTCCATCGCCTGGTTGGAGCCCTGTCCTCCCGCTCCGCTCAGGCAGTCTCTGTGTTTTCTTTCCAGGGAGCTACTTCGCCAACCACTTCATCATGGGCGGCGAGAAGTTCGACTCCACGCACCCCGAGGGTTACCTCTTTGGCGAGAACAGCGACCTCAACTTCCTGGGGAACCGGCCAGTGGTGGTGGGCACCGGTGGGGCATGGGGGCACGGGGCCCAGGTGTGCCTCTTCCCAAAATGGCGATGGCTCTGTATGTTGGGGGGTGCACGGTATAAAGCTTCTGGCTGTCACACTCTGAAGGCAGAGCCACCCCAGCACACCTGGGGTGGCCTGTGTGGATTCTCTGATGTCTAATATAAGGGTTGGCCACTAGCTGCAGCCTGTCCCCCATCAGGGACTAACATGGGTCTCCTCTCAGCCCGTCTGCCCACGGCCACGTGCTCCTCAGCAACGTAACTTATCGCCCTGTCTCTCGCCTCACCGCCAGGCTGGAGTTGCAAGGGGTGAATAGGTTTGCAAGTGGTTGGGAAGGAGCAGGGCAACAGTGTGACCGCTGCCTTTGGGTGCTGCCCTCCGCAGCACCTGTGTTGTTGGTCGTCGGACCATGAAGGCTGCTTGCACGAACAAACCCCTGGCTTAAAAACCTCAGCTGGTGAAGGAGATGGGGAGGGGTGATGGGCTCGTTTAGCCCAACTCCTTCTTTCTTGCTCCCTCTCCGAGAGCTGCTTTTCCTCTTGCCTTTCCCAGCCCAGCCGGGAGCCATCTCCCAGCCCAGACAGCACAGGGTGGGGGACATGCCGGGAGCAGTGCATGAGTATGTAGGGGCAGAGTAGTTTGGACAGGAGCAGGCAAAAGTATTCCCCAAGCTCTAGCAAAAAAAGGGGAAAAAAAAATAAAAAAGAGAGAGGTGGGATGGTGGGGGCTGCGGGCAGCACCAATGTGTTTCACGGTGCTGACCCCAGGGCATGGGGAAACCCAGGTGCAAGGAAGGTCCCTGGACCCCATGGTCCTGCAGATGTTTTTTCTGGTTGATGCCTTTTGAAAGGGAGGAAACGAGAGCGGGGCTGTCTCCACAGAGGGGTTTCAGCCATGGGGGTCATGTCCCCTGCTCCTCCGGGTGCATCTCAGCTGGGCAGCTCACAGCGTCAGCTGGAGCAGTGTGGGCATCGAGCATTAAAAAGAATTCAAAGTGGGGAATTAAAAGGCACCAAAGCTTTTCTGTTGAGTCGAGATAAACTTGCCCGGTGCTGCCGGCCCTGCTATCGAACGCTGCCCGCTCTGCGCTGGGCTGGCGAGGCTGCTGCTGTCCCGCTTTGTGCGCCCGTCGTGAAATTGGCTTCAGCAGCATTTTGGCAGCATCGTACGGTCCTTGGGTAGGGAAGTGCCCAGCCCTGGGGCCGTGCCAGAGAGGGGATCCCGGCAGAGCCAAGGGAAGGAGCACCCCCTAAAACCCACGAGTGTTAGGGGGGGCAAAGCCAGCGCCTTCCTCTCCATCCTCTGCGCTCCCCTAGAAAATGAAAAGTCAGCACTCGGCTTCTCTCCCCAGCAGCGAGCGCTGAGAAATCCTCTTGATTACGGTAAAAGCCTCTAAACTGCCCAGCGAGCGGTTCCGAGTCAGACGCCCCGACAGCAGAAGCAGCAGGGAAGGCAGAGGAACAGCTTGGAAACAGCAGAAAGAATTAATACAGCGTTGCAACCCCAATGGCATTGCTCCGGCTTAATTACCCGCGGCCCTGGGCTGCAGAGCTGTGACCGAGGTCCTGTCTCCCTGGGGAGCGGGGGTGTTTTGGGGCTGGGCTTTCGGGTCAGGCCGGTTTTGGGGGCTCAGGGAGGACCCCTGTTGTTTGTGGTCCAAGCCTGTGCCCAGGCACTGTTTGGGCATCTCTGATGCTGCCTCCAACACCTGTCCTGATGCTTCTTGGCTGCGACGCTTTCATGTTCTGGCCTGCTGCAAGAGCCCGGGCTGGGCTGGAAATGTCAGAGATGGCCAGTGCTTTTCGGTGAGGGGTTCATTTTGAGTTCTTTGGGTGTCAAGAGCCACGAGGTCTTTGAAAAATTGTGTCCCAAGTCCTCTCTGAGCCAAGCGCCTTGGCTGAGCTATTAACAGCGCTGCTGCCATGGGGACGTGCAGAGCACCTGGACTCTCCCCTTCATGGATACATGATAATCTGGATTTTCCAGCTTGGGATGGGTTTCCAAGGAGCTGGGAAGGGCTTTGCAGGTTTAAGTAGGTGCCACCATGCTGGGACACCTCTGCAGGGACTGAGGAGCGGAGAAGCTGCTTGCAGCACCCAGAGACAATGGGGTGGCCAGGAGAAGCTGGGGACTGGTGAAACGTGCCACTGGGTTTCCCTGCCCACGCAAACCAGCCTGGGTCTGCTTGTAGAAAAACCCCAGGAAAGATTTTTGAGGGGCTTTTTTCACTTGAACAAAAGCCAGTCTGGACCAAATGTTGCTGTAGGCACGTGGACAATGTTCTTAAATGAGTAACGGTTGCAGCGAGGTGTTTTTCTGTTGGTTTTCAGCTTGATTTAAATGGAGGAGATGTAAAAAGTCCTTTAAACAGCCCCTTTCTGATGTGCAAATCCGGCTTGCAAAACTTCAGTCAAAATACCCAACCCCAACCCCCCAACAAAGAGCCCAGATGTGGGTCTGAAAGAGACCAACGGCGACGGCAAAGCGGTTTCTGCAGCAAGAAATTTGCTTGTGGCGCTTCCCCATCCTGCCCAGCCCAACGGCCCCCGCAGGGCTGCGCCCCAGGGGACCCAGCTGCCCCTTC